TCGTGCATATGTACAAATATCCATAATAAATAAAAAGCACATGCAAATATACATACATACATGCATGCATACATCCATACACGCACACATGAACACAAATACAGACATAGATACAAGCATGCATACACATACGGACTTAAATTTATAACAAAAATAAGGAATGGTTGAGCTTCATCATTGTTGCTATCAATATTTATACCATAAAGAGATATCAATATTCTATCAATATCATATCAAATCATCAATATTTATATCATAACAAAGAGACAGAGAGAGAGAGAGAGAGAGAGAGAGAGAGAGAGAGAGAGAGAGAGAGAGAGAGAGAGAGAGAGAGAGAGAGAGAAGAGAGAGAGAGAGAGAAAGAGAGAGAGAGAGAGAGAGAGAAGTTTGCCTTATCAATCATTAACTAACAATTATTTAACTAAAAATAAATATACATGTAGCTGCTATTTATAACTTTATAACATTTTAAATCAACTGCATCTCAATTATAACTTGAGATGAAATAAATAAGATAAAATAACCACCAGTAGATGAATGAATGAATGAATGAATGAATAGAGGGATGATTGATTGATAGTAAGAGATTATACATAATGGCAGCGTTTTTAATATACATATAATTATGGAAAATATATGTATATATATATGTATATAGTATGCAATTATTGATATATATATATATATATATATATATATATATATATATATATATATATATACACACACCACAGCTACTACTACTACTGCTACTACTACCGTCACCACTACAACTACTACTACTACTACTAATAATAATATATTATGACACATTATTATAAAAATATTTTATTATATAAAAATCGTCTATTCAATCAATTATTATCATCATTATCATTATTATTATCATTATTATCATGTATATTAAATAACTTGATATCATCATCTACGCCGTCATCATCGTGATAATGATAATCGTCGTCAACGCCAGCATGGTCCTCATCATCAGCGTATCTTCCAACATCGCCAACATCATAATTTATATTGTGACCCTGTTGTGGTTGCTGTTGTTGTTGTCGTTGTTGTGGTTGTGGTTGTCGTTGTTGTGGTTGCTGTTGTGGCTGCTGTTGTGGTTGTCGTTGTTGTGGTTGCTGGTGCCGTGTCTCGTTTGGCAACAGGTGGAAAGGAATGGCTGACGGATGGACGTTGATGAGTCGTGTCGAGTGAACCTCGCAGTCGATCTGCATCATCGAGATGCTGCCAGTCGATTGGTGGGGACGATTTCTAGAATCTTTGGTTATTCGACAATCGATCAATCAATCAACCCATCAATTAACTAATATAACAACCTTTTAATCAAAAAATCTACAAACCAAGAAATCGCAAATCAGTCAATAAACCAACCAACCAACCAATCAACCAGCCAACCAATCAGTCAACTAAGCCAACCATTAGAGTCAAAAGCAGGCATAAGAACAGACATCTTGGGCCTTGATGTCTTGTTGTAAACAGTGGCAGGCAATAATAAGTGATCCTAATTTGAGTTATAAAGAAAATTAGCTAGGTATACTAATATAAGATTATACCACACATACACACATATATATCTGTACGACACACACTCACTCACACACACACATCTATATCACACAGGCACAAACACGTACAACACATAAACACATCTACGGTAAAACTCTGTCGTAACGGAATCGGTTAAAAAGTGATCATGAATCTGACACATTAACATAATTTATTATTACCGACACATTAACATAATTTATTATTACTGACACATTAACATGATTTATTAGTACTTAAGTAGTTCACTTTCTACATGGTACTTAGTTGTTTTATTTTTTGACCTTTGCCCCTAAAAGGTCAGACGGAGTACAAGCAGTGCGTATATGATGTTGTATGGCCGCCATGTGGATGGTCTAGACTCACGCTGTTATTTTATTATTGATTCATACAATCTATTTCAATGAATGATATGCAAAAATATATGTTCTGCAGTTTTAGCAGAGAGAGAGAGAGAGAGAGAGAGAGAGAGAGAGAGAGAAAGAGAGAGAGAGAGAGAGAAAGAAAGAAAGAGAGAGTGAGTGTTAGAGAGAGAAGAAACACACAGAAGAAGAAAGAGAAGAAGATGCACTAAAGCTCTAAAACATCCTTAATTATAACAGTAAAAAAAATAGATAGAAAGAATTAAATTTAGAGAAAGAGAGAGAGAGAGAGAGAGAGAAAAGAGAGAGAAACAGAGGAAAACTGACGAAGCTTACGAATGCATGCGGCAGGCAAATCAATAAAATGCAAGTGAAGTAGTTAAAAAAATGTCAATATTTCGTTCAAAGTCGAACTGCGTGCAGGTGCACGTGTGCGTGCGTGCGTACCATGTGTGTTTAAAAATGATAATGTTTTTAACCAATCAACAGTCAACTTCACCAATCACGCAACAAATCAACCAATTAACTAAATTAGTCCAACAATCAATCAGTTCCAACAACCAACTACTATGATCAGCCCCACTATTCAATCAATCAATCAATCGATCAATCGATCAATCGATCAATCAATCAATCAATCAATCAATCAATCAATCAATCAATCAATCAATCAATCGATTGGTCGATCGATCAATCAACCGACAAACAAACTTCCTCTTATCTACGCACATTATGAAAGGAAACGATGTAGAATGTATCGTTCTTCCTCTTTATAGAATCCAGAAAATCTCCATACATACTCTGGGAATCCCAATTAAACAACTGCACCTCGTAAGGATTGGCTGGGGATGGATATCTGAATGTTGATTGGTTGGCCGAACTGTGATTGATTTGTTAACAAACAAACAAACAGGCAAACTGACATAAAAGAAACAAACAAGCATATAAACAGACAGACAGACAGACATGCACACACCTAATTCTTCTTAATTGCTCTTTAGTAGGCACGTTAAAATTATCATCAAAATTATTTTGTTGTCGTTGCTTTGGCCGTTGTTGTCGGAATTTCTGTCGTTGTTGAAGCAGCTGCTTTTTGCTTCTGTACAACAATTTTTCTTGCTGCAGCTGCTGTGGCTGCTGTGGCTGTTGTTGATGTTGCAGCTGCCGCTGTTGTTTTTGCTGATGTCGATAACTTTGCTTCAACTGTTCTCGTTGATGTTGCAGTCGCAAATTTTGTGGCACCTTCATCATATCTTGCAATAGCTGCTCTGGAGTCAACCTACCATTAAGACTACTGTCCGTGTCATTAATGTTGCCGTCATTAATATGATTAATGTCGTTGTTGTTATTCTTATTGTTGTTATTACTTCTGTTGATGCGATTGATGTAGGTGGTTTTATTGACAAAGTAATATTCATTGATCTTATTCAACTCCTTCTCCATTAAGTTTTTCACTCTATTGTTGTTGATGTCGCTGACGATGTCTTTGATGTTGTTGCTATTGTTAATGCTACTGCTGTTGATGCTATTGTTGTTGTTGTTGCTGCTGATTGAACTGTTGTCGCGGTTAATTACGTCATCGTCGTCGTCGTCTGTACGGCCGTTATTAATGTATTCAAAAAGTTTTCTATTGATGAATCTGCTGTCAATGTTTAGAGTGTTACTGTGGTTAACATCAGTGGTGGTGTTAGCAAACAAACCGTTGCTCTTGTTGTTGTTCGCATGGATGGTGTCATTGTTGTTGATGCTATTGTTGATGTTATAGTTGTTGTTGTTGACATCAATGCTGTTGACATCAATGCTGTTGAAGATTCTATTGGGGTTGATGGAGTCTTCAATGATGTTGTTACCACTATCACCATTTTTGTTACCAATATTGATGTCATCATAACTGCTATGGTTAATGCGATTGTCATTCATGTCATTTCTGCTAGCTTTAATGCCATCACTATTTCTATTACCCCTTATAATATCATTGTGGATGAGTTTGCCCTTGATGTTACCATGAGCGTTTTTGTGGTTGTTGATGTTAGCATGGTTGTTGTTACGATTGTTATTATTGTTGTTAGGAGCGTGGTTATTTACCATCCTTCTTTTAACTAATTCATTCTCATGGCCATTAGCCCATATTTTTAGCTCATACATCATTCTGTTTGAAAAAAAAAATTTTAAATTCATCGTAAAAATATTGTCTCAAGTTATTTTATTACATTTCTACAAGTGTCACTAGTGGAATTAACCATCGTCACTAATAAAAAAGAAAGAAAAAATTAGGCAAACCTAATTGCTTCGGTGGCGTTGAAATACCCAACTCTATCCTTACATATCATAGATTCATCGTCGCCATCTTCATCCTCACGACCCAATTCGTTCGTCATTCTGTTACTACCGCCAACGAAACGTAGTTTCTTATTGGTGTAACCCGTAGTGACGTCATCTAGGATACCCTGCACTGATTGGTTGGGATATTCAAAGGTCGAGGCTGCTGATTGGTCGAGGTCTTTCAGAGTTCGACCGAGCCAATGAGAGTCGGAATTTTGTCCGTCGGTGGTGAGTTTCTTGAGGATGTTGAAAAAAGATGACGACAACGGGAATAGGTAGTTGTTGTTGTTGTTGGCGGAAATGTTGTTGTTGTTGGCAACTGTTGACGTCATCAGTTGTGTTCCAATGAAAGAATCACTAATTTTGCAACAGCAACAAAAACAACAAAAATTATCAATATCATTTTAAAAAATGTATTCAAAATCCATAATAATAATAATAATAAATTCTTTATCACTCACGTTAAAAATCCAGTATTGAAGATCATAAAGAAGCAAAGAGCAATTAACATCCCTGATTTAAGTGGCGTCTTTTTAATACTATTATTATTATTATGGCTGTTATTATTGCTGTTATTATTAATGTTATTGTTATTACTATTGTTACTGTTGTTGTTGTTGCTTGTTGTGACACCACTTTTTAGCATGGTATTCTAGGAATGATGGTAGGTAGTTGTAATAATGAAAATGATGATGAAGATGATGATTAAAAGTGAGGTTGATGATGATGAAGACGACGATATAGTAGAGTCAAAAAGTATCCAACAATCATCACAAACAACCACATCATCATCATCGTGGTCACGGTAGTAGCCACAACTACCGCTAACTACATCGTGACCGCCGTCACCATACAAACCTCAGACTGAAGACAGCTTAACTTTTGCTTGAGCGCTGTATTTTCGATTCTCAACCTTTTATTCTCATCATCCAGCTGTTTCAATTGGTCCTCGAGACATTGTAAATACTAAATTTGACAAGATTAAAAATAAGAAACTCTAATTGGTTATAAAAATGATAAAGAATTTTGATTGGTTAACACAATAAGCAATGTAATTGGTCTATTTATCTATTGTTGTAGGTGTATAAAGAAAAATTTTGATTGAACAGTTAGGTTCATTTCAATTATTACCGTGTAAAATAACAAACAAATGAAAACTTAGTTACACTGATCTTGCATAAATTATTCTAAAAATATCAAATCAAATAACATCATTAATATTCATGACGATGAACCATAACAAACCACAAAAAGAAACCCCACATAACTCATTTTAATAACCTCTTTCTTTCGTTTCCTTGACAGCGAAGCTGACTCCCTATTCTTAATCATTCTCTGCTGCCTCTTGACGGCCTTTGACTGGTCGAATAAATTAACATAAATTAAAAAAATTAAAACAACGGATGGAAAGAATACTTTAAATTAACATAAATTAACATAAATTTTAAAAAATTAGCACAAAAAATGGAAGAAATATTTCCATAAAATGCATACAGAATGACCTACAATACCTCAATATCACTGGACAGTGAGGTAAAGTTAAGGCCCAGCGGCTTGGATGGAATAGTAATATGTTGATGATTGGTATTATTATTATTATATGCATCAACAGTACTATAAATGTTACTACTGTTACTAGAAGCTATATTGAATGTTGACAGTTTAGCAGTACTATTATTGAGAGCAGTGTGGATAATGTTGTTGTTGTTGATGCAGCTTATAGTAACAATGTTTTGGCTGTTGTTGTTGTTGATGATGTGGTTGTTGTTGTTGTTGCTGACAACAACGTTACTGCTAGTGTATTGCGGAATGGTTTGAATGACGTAACTAATTTTCGGAGAAGATGACGCTGACGACAAAGAAGAAGATGATGAGGATGATGAGGATGAAGAGGAAGAAGACAGTGTGACAATGATTTCTTTTGGCGACAGCCTAAAACCTGGTTGAGAGTAAATTCTCTCTTTTCAAATTACAAACATAAAAAAACAACAATAACAACAATAGCAACAACAATAACAGCAATGATAATGTCGTCATCTTTCTTATCATCAACATCATCGTCGTCATCACCTTCATCATCAACATTTTTTTTTAATAATCAATCATCAACATTCAAATCACAGCAATAAAAGCTGAAGAAGAAACAGCCCAAAATTACCTAAATCTTTATTATTATTATGGATTTTATTATTACTATTATTATTAAGAATAGCATTACTACCATTAGCATTTGTAATTATATTATTACTATTATTACTGCTTTTATTATCGTTATTTATGATGATATTTTCGATCTTTGGCTGTATCTGGACCCTAGACAGTAAAATTTTATTAGCAGACGCCGGATCAGATTTTCTCTTCAAAGTTATAGATTTATTATTACTGCTACCATTATTACTGATAATGTTATTGTTATTAATGTTATCGTTATTAACGTTATTGTTATTAATGTTATTATTGTTATGGAGAGCGTTAGTTGTGATGATGTTGTTATATGGTGGTTGTATGACAATAACAGTTGAAACATCCGCCTGATGTTTTGGGAGTATTTTGAGCGTTCCATTTTTCAAAAAATTTTGATTTTGTTGTTGTTGTAGTTGATGCTGTTGTTGTTGTTGTTGCTGCTGATTGCGTGGAATGTGAATACTGGCCAACTTCGATGTTGTTGTTGATGTCGTCAATACTGGATTTGGCACTGTTGAAATCAGTTGTTGTTGTTGTTGTAACTGCTGCTGCGGTGAAAGCAGCAGTGTAGTTGATGTTACCGTTTGCGATGTTGGAGATGCAGTAGGTGTGCTGTTGCTGTCGTTCATGTTGTCACCAATGGTCAGCCATTCAGCATTATTTTGAATGAAGATTTCTGAGATGATGAAGAAAAATATATTGATCACATCACATCATACCACATCAGTCAATTAGCAAACAAGACAAGCCAACCAACCAGCCAACCAACCAACCAGCCAGCCAACCAACCGTCAGTTAACATGCACTCCTCACTCTCCATAGTCATCATTGTCTCCTCCATGCCCCAGTCATCGATTGATCCAACGACATCATTATCAACACCGCCACTACAGCAAACGACATCATTATCATCATTGCTTCTGTTGTTGTTGTTGTTAATGTCATCCTCTATATCAAGATCAGTGTTGATGTCAGTGTCATTATGGAGCGAGGCAATTATACTCTTGATGATATTATTATTGTTGTTGTTGTTTTTGTTGTTGTGGTCTATGTTGTTGTTGAAGAAAATGTTGTCGAAATCATCAATGAAGAAGGCATCGTTGTTTTTGTTGCTGCAGTTGCTGATGTCATTGCCGTTAATGTCATTAATGTTGTTGCTGTTGTTGTTGGTGGTGGTAGTGTTGAGGAATAATGAGTGGTCAAGACCGTTGATGTGATTGTTGTTGTCATCAAAGTAGTTGTTGTTGTTGTTGTTGATGTCATTACAATTGCTGTCCAGTAGCAAGTTAATGTCATTGTGGCCACTTATATATGGGTTTAGGACATTCTGAATAAAATTTTGGTAATGTGTGTGTGTATGTGTATGTGTGTGTTTGCGTATGTATGTGTGTGTATATCTGTAATATAATGAAACATACAAGTACATACAAACATACAAGTACATAAATGTATATATAATGCATATGTACATGTGTCAATCATCAACTAACATTATAATCTGCTGATGGTGAATCAGAGAAAGATATAGTGGGAGATAGGGGTTCAACCTTTGTTTGAATACCTGCCAATTAACCAATCAAATCAGTTAATTAGTCAACCAGACAGCCAACCAACCAGCCAGCCAGGCAGTTGGTCAGCCAACCAACCAGCCACCCAGCCAGCCAGCCAATCAAATCAATCACAACTAGACTAACTATCAATCCCTGAATCGCTACTGCTGCAATCCTCTTTCCATAGATCGCCATGGCAACCGATGAAGTTGTCAACTAGGATGTTGTCATTGCTGCTGTTGCACTGTGCAATTTAAAATCATACGAAACCAACTAGCGGTGATCACGATGATGTAAGTGAGGATGGCAATGATGACAGCAACATCAGTAATAACAACAACAACATCAGCAAAAACAAAAACAACAGCAATAATACTAACTGACTGAAATAAAAACTACAAACTAAACCAACCGACTAGCCAATGACGATGGTGACAATGACAAAAAACATCAACAACCATAACAGTAAAAATAGTAAAATAAAATAATAACAATAAAAACAACAGCAATAATAATAATATAATATAATCATTATATTATATTACATTAAATTATATTATAATATAATTTACTAACATCTGGGATACCATTAAAAACCTGGTCTTCATTGCATAACTTACCATCTAGGTAACATGCATCTAAAAAAAATTATTATATTTTCAATGTAATTTTATTAATTTTCCATAAAATAAATAATTTTTGGTAACATTTTTCGTCAATTAATTACTTATCTTTCTCTGGCAAATAAATTATTACCTGATCAAATAAATTAATATGGCTGATTAAATAGATTAATAAGACTGATGATATATAATAATATATTAAAAATTAAATTTATTTTTATGATGAAAAATTAAAATTAATTTTATATTATTTTTTAGCTTTTATATCATTATAAAAGCTGATTAAAAAAACTTGGGTAAACTAGCCTTAAAAGCAAGCCATGGTTATTTTAATATGTCTGACACTAACTGAATACTATAGTATTCAGATTTATTTAAATTTGATAGATTAAACATTTAAATTATATAATAATAATTGTTTATAATTATTTCAATGAATAATTAATTGATAATAAATTAATATATTAATTAATGATAAATTAATTGAATGATAGCTCACTTGCAAATATATAGCAACACCTTCCCCAAAAATTTAAAAAAATGAAAGCCCTAGCTTAATTCTGTCTGATTAACCTCCAAGCTAAATTATAAAATTATAAAACAAATGATATTTCTTTTAGAACATTTGTGTTTTTAATCATTTCTGCCTAATTTTTGTATTTTTAATGGTGATTTTGACTCAATTTCTGTTTATTTACTGCCTTTTCCAGAAATTTTATTCAAAAATTTCTTTGCAAGTAAATAAAAATGATAAATAATAACTCTAAGTTACACTAATCTGCCTACTAATCACTAACTGGAAATAAAATTTTGAATGAGCAGCATCACGATCTATGGAATAAATTTTACAAAAACCGCCATTTGATTGTAAAAAACATAAATTTTTTAGAAATTTTTAAATGTTTCACAATGGGAAAAAGAAAAATCAGACAGAAAAAAACAAAATGTAACCTAGGAGGAAGCTGTCAATATCCAATCTCAGACCGAGCTCCATTTTTTATATAATTATTTAAATTTATTAAATCAAAATCAAAATAAAGAAATTTGATCTAAAAAACGACAATTTTGAGCGAGAAACCACACATGTCGAAACATTGATTGAATGCACATTTACGATATTAGGTGAAATTAGTGTTGCCAACTGAGAAATTATTTTCAACAATTTTTAAAAGATAAACATGAAAACATACTGTACGTACGCATACTCATACCAGATAATACAACGAAATACACAACGATATAATACCAAAAATTAGATTTAATGATATATAACTATTATGTTATTCATTCTATTGACATTCTTCAGAGGATAGTCCTTAGATCAAATGCTTTGTTGAACAAATAATTTTTTAACTCTCTTCTGAAATCTTTTTCTGGGACAATTTGCTTCAATCTTGTTCATTCTTATATATATATATATATGTATATATATATATCTGAGTTACATTAATCTAATATATATATATGTATATATATATCACTTCACTTTAGTAAGAAAAATCGAAAAAACGGACTACAAACATATTAACGCCAAACATTCGGTATAATTTATAGAATATTGTAAAAATTATGGTCTATTACCAACATATATATATATATATATATATATATATATATATATATATATATAAGCAAAATACGAGGCCATAACATAATAACATAACAGCATTGTGGGCTCAAACCAAAAGTTCATATGCCCACATAAATATATAGTTAAAATCGTTAATAACAAGTTTCAACACGATGAATGTAATAACAATCTTCGTTAACCATGAATTTGCCCACCGTGACATCGAATCCCCCTGGTTAACAGCAGAATACAATTTAGAGAAACCTGGCCGGGAGGATGATTTGGAGCAGTACCCTCCATACATTAGTAACATTTTTGCCATTTCCAAGCTCAAATTTTACAAAACGCTCACTTCTCAACTCCTGTTAACCCAACTCTAACCCGAATCTGCGTCTGCTTTTTTCCCCGTAACTTTCTTCCTCCTCCATCACTTACGAAGATCAGAGCAGTTTGTGAAATTCATTAAGGAGCGCTGTTGAACGAACACAACGGAAATGGCGCTTTAAAATTTAATTGATTGATTAAATTATATTATAAAGCAATGATTGTATGATATATCAAGCATTAATTGTGATCAATATCATCTAAAATATTTACAATTTATCTTATTAAGATGGATAAAATGAAGATTCAATTGAAAAAACTATAAAATTAAATTTAAACATTTGAAAAGAAGAAGCCAAAACCACATCGACAAATTAATAAATTCAAAACCAACTTTAAACTGATATAACAACAACATCAAAAAGCCAATAATAACAGTCTGAAAGATGAAATGACGTCGAATTCAACGCACGTGCAAACGGCGCTATATAAATTTCACTAAGCAATTGATTTGTACCACCACCCGAGGCATCTCTAATATTATCGATGAGGTCATTCTCGCCATCACTATTTCTAAATTATAATAATAAGCTGCAAACATTATTAAACGAAGGAATGATTACGAATAAATAAACAAGTTGGAAATAATGCAGTTTATAATAATAAAAGTAATTTATGAAATCCACCGAATTTCTAGCGCTGCCTTTGGCTGGTCTTTTACCATCTAGGATCAACCGAAGACAACGCTACAAATTCGGTAGATTTCATAAATTACCGCATTAATTATGGCCTTTTACCGGCATTCAATAATAAAAGTATATACATAACAATTTGAAAAAAAATTAATGAAGGAGTAAAATTAATAAATGTAATTGATGAAATTTAAAAACAAATAACAACGAAGCAATTCATAATTCATTAGCAATTGAACACACGTTTAGACGACATTTTCCCCGAGATCGGAGGTTGCCGTTTGGCTACCTATGATGAAACTTCTGTCATCATAAGTAATTTATTTGGCTAATTTTTACGCAGGACGCCCTTCCTTACGCAACCAGTTATAAGCGGTGGGCCTAGCCTTTGATGATCCAACATCACTCACAAAGCAGTGAGGGTCAGTTTAATGTCATAACCAGGACAAAATTCATTAGCAATTGGCTAAAAAGAAAAGGAATTTTAAATGTATAATTAAGGAATTGTACCGAATTGAAAATAAATTTCAACAAAGCTTAACTATATGTACGTCCATTTCTTTCAAACAAAGTCAGCCCTGTTAGCAGAAAACATTAATAACAAAGACAGCAGAACACAATTAATAAAATAACTAATCAACTGATAAAGTAATAATAATTATTTAAATAATTAAGTCAAATTAATTAAAGCAAATTAAAAAAAATAAACTCCAAGTCTTAAAAAGACACAGAAAAAATCACAACTATATTATATTAGTAATAATGTAAGTAACCCCCATAACCGAAATCGTCATCAAAATGATAATCATCATAACCATCATCATCAGCACTAAAATCACCACCGTTATCATCTATCAGAACGATGACATGCATACACAGACGCTGATTCCCTCATAGCTGCTGCAACTGATAATCTCGTAGCTGCTGCAGCTGATAACGTTGTAGCTGCTGCGGCTGAAAACCACGGAGCTGCGGCAGCTGAAAACCTAGGAACTGCTGCAGCTGATAACCTCGTAGCTGCTGCAGCCGATAACCACGGAACTTTTGGTAACCTCATAGCTGCTGCAGCTGATAACTTCGGAGCTGCTGCAGCCGATAACTTCGGAGCTGCTGCAGCCGATAACTTCGGAGCTGCTGATAACCTCGTAGCTGCTGCAGCTGATAACTTCGGAGCAGCTGCAGCCGATAACTTCGGAGCTGCTGATAACCTCGTAGCTGCTGCAGCTGATACTCTCGTAACTGCTGATGACGTCATTGTTGCTGTCGCTGCTGCTGTTGATGACGTCACTGCTGCTGTTGATGGCGATGCTAAGGCAAAAGGTTTCAACATTATTGAGGTCAGGTCAACTAGATGTCTCACAGAAATTCCTGTAATATCATTCAACGACCCTATGACCTGATGTGTAATCCAGATTATTTTTATTATTATTGTTAGTAGTATCGTTGTTATTATTATCGTCATTAGTATAATAATTAATATGTTTTATATACTTTATACTGGAGCATAAGAAGAATCAAACATAAAAACAGCCCGACATCGGTCAGCACTACATACAACAACAACATCAATAACGATCAAATAAACAAAAACAGCAACGACAACAACAACAACATACGTCATCAGTTAAACTCTGATCTATAAGGAATGATGTCGTCGCAATGACACCAGAAGCCAAAAACATGTAATCTCTCTCTATGGCGTGGATGGCTATTCTTCAAAGAATGAACGAATGAACGAACGAACAAATGAACGAACGAACAAATGAACGAACGAACAAATGAACGAACGAACAAATGAACGAATAAAGCAGTCATATTGAAAAGCAGAACAGACAGTGGGGTAGATAAACAAATGAACATCGACACAAATTCTTTATAGAATAAGAATAGACTTGTGAAATTGAAAGTTCAGCATCATGGTGCGAAAGTAAGAAAAAAGGAAGCATTAAACAATTGACAGACACACGGACAGACAAACAAACATCCAGAAAGACAAACAAGCATCCAGACCAGACATACAAATGAACCTTTCCGATCTAGAGTTGACTTGTGAGTTTGATAGTTCAACAGCAAATGAATTATAAATTAATTCTCTTTCAATCATAGCATAGTCCAAGACGTCGTAACTATACAACGTGTACTTCTCAATGTCTATTTTTAATCTTTTGTTAAAACCTTTTTGCATGTTTGTTTTTAAGTTTAGTTTTATTCATACACACGCACACGCACGCACACACATGCTCGGACACTCATTTAATCTTCACTAACTCACAACTATTACATTCATTCATTCATACATATATACATACAACAAAACATACTTAGCTTATTGATGAGTGTGTGTACATAAATAAGAGGCGTGGTCCGCATAACATTAAACCCCAACCCTTTAAAAACCCTCAATTCCGATTGGACGATTCCATCTGCTTTAAATTTTAGACCATATCTTCTAAGTAAGGCAATCATTTGATAGCAGTTTAAGTGCTGTAGGAGGAGATGTTTGTTTGTGTATGTTTGTTTATATATGTGTGTGTACATTTGTGAGTGAGTTTGAAAAGGAGTGTAGAAGTGCCTACTTCTGTCTGCACAAGTTTGCATGATTATGCATGTTTAAGTATATGGATGAATGTGTGTATGTGTGTGTGTGTGTGTGTGTGTGTGTGTGTGTGTGTGTGTGTGTGTGTGTGTGTATGAATGTGAATGTGCATATACAGTGGAACTTCTGATTGTTTGGAAAATGTCTTCTAAAATCAGCAAAAAGCCAAACAGTTATTATAAATATGATAAAATAAGAGTTGTCAGATTGCAAATCTCTTACAACAGCACAACCGCAACAGAGTCTATAACTCCTAATCAATTCATAACTTGATCATGGAAATAACAGGTAAGACTCCTGAATCTTATCAATTTCGGACCAATCCCTAACCTCATATGTAGAGACAAACTTGCTGGCCAACTGGATACAAGAAGCAATCCGAAGGATCATCTGGTGAGCAATCCTGGCAAGAATTTTGTCCCATTCTTGTTTTCTTTTTTCTCTGGGGAAATTCTCAATGACATAATTGTACATTTCCGCCACGTGGCTCTGCATGAAACTTTGTTTAGTTAGGCGTTTAGGTAGAAAAGAAAGTCGGAATATGTGGACGGAGAATTAAAAAAAGATTTGAAAATTAATTTCAAAGTGGTGTTTAGATGAAATTAATTAATTAAATTACACAAAAAATGTAATTAAGTTACTCAACTCAAAATATGTCATAATATTACTAATATAGTATAATAATTATAGCAGATAATTTATTTTATACCATTCAAATAACTCCACGGTCAGATAATAAATTTCTCTTGGCATATCCAGCTCCTGGCAGAATTTAAACACTATCTCAACATACTTCCCCTTCAAAAACTGTCCCTAAATTTTGTGAAAATTTTTAAAATTAGTAAAATATAAAAATAGAACTCAAAAAGTACAGAAATTATAAGTGACTCCTTTAAAATTTGTCCTAATTTTAGTAACATTTTAGTAAAATTAGTAGGAACTTGTTGGTGAAGCATGAAAGACAAAAGTTATGGGTTATTTATTTATCAATGTATTGACGGGAGGAACTGATGATACTTGAATGGTGTATTGTATTGTAATAAAAAAGATAAACACACGAGAAAAAATCACCTTTGGTGATGAAAATGAATAGACTTTTGCCATTCTCTCATTGTTATTTTCTACTAAAAGTAAGAGTAACTTATCTAGGCTCCTCTCACTAACACTAACTGATTCTAATTGACTTCTAGACTCATTTTCTTCATGATGAATGATTAATTTCTGTCTTGAAAAGAAATAAAGGTATTATTTAATATTATTTAAAATATAATAACTATATTATATATAATATACTTTAGGTGAGACTCATGATCAATGGACAGCAGTCCATTAAAATTTGTCGTAATTTTAGTAAAATTTTAGTAAAATTAGTAGTGAAATTGTTGGTGAAGCATAAAAGACAAAAGTTATGGAGAAGTAATGCATAAGATAAGCATTGATGTATTGTATATTATATATAGTGTAGAATCAGAAGAACCGTGGTAGAAAGAGTTACAATAATGAATCCTAAATAAGACTAAAGAAGTAACAAGGAGAAGAGTAGGATTGTCAAGAAAAGGCAAAAGTTAAAAAAAAACTTTTAGCAACACTATTAATCTAAGAAAAAGATATGCTAGAATCAAAGATAAAGCCTAGACTAAGAAACTTGTGAGAAACATCAAGAATTTTAGAATTAGGTAAGATAATAGGAGGAATAGTAATAATATGTTTAGATTTATTAAAACAAATTAATTCAAAACTAGAAGGATTAACATTAAGTTTAAGACAGAGTCAGACCAAGTGATAATTGAAGAAAGACATAGATAGATTATGAAGAAGTTTACTATAAATATAAGAATCATCAGCATATAGTTGACTAGTGAAAGAAAAATTTCTAATAGAAGAGGGCCTAGGATAGAATCCTGAGGTACCCTAAAAGTAAGGGTAGAGGAATTAGAAGTAGAATTATTAAGAAAAACAGAAGAAAAACGTTTACTTACCTTACAGAGATAAAAAAAACCAAGATAGACAAGAATCAGTAATATTAAAATTTAATAAATTTTATAATTATATAATTAAATTAAATTAAAAGAATCATCTAGTAGCCTCAACAAGTCTTAAGAGAATAGAATAGTATGATCAACACTCAACAGTATGAAAAGCAAGGAGTTAATTAAAAAAAGGTTTGGCTAGTTCTTTTGGGAGCAAGGAGTTAGAATTTAAAATGATAATTAATTAATTTATTTATTTAACTTATTATAATTGTGTAATTAATTATTTAATAATTCAATTCAATTCAAATTCAATCAAATACAAATTCAATACATTGTAACACTTTTTAGATTTACATTTCTAAACGGCGTATTATACAAGTATAATTAATTTAATAGAATACTAAATACTACACTTTATCTTAAAAAGATATTTTTGATCGTTTAAATACCAATTTTGTAAACCGAAAGACGAAATTTTGAATAATCAAATCTTACCTCTTTGGAGACCACATTTTTATACATAGAACTTAATAAAAAAAATGAAAATTAAACTATTATTTTTGAAAAATTAAAAGGAACAATTGAGGTATAAACTTTATAAATATATATATATGTGTGTGTGCGTGCGTGTGTTTTTATATATTTGTGTGTGGGTTGTATTTGAATACATTTACATGTTTTATTAATAATATTTCAAACAGCAATAACATTAATAACAACAATATTTATAATATAACAATATTAAGAGAAGCAAAATCACAAACACATACACACGCACACAAGCAATTAAAAGAACAAACAAATACACATACACACAAGACCCCATTCATGTTACCGCCATTCAATTTATGATCTTTTATTTTCGCCTACGTCATTCATTACTTCCGCTTGCGACAGACAACACGGACCATTTTTACGCTCCACTTCCTTTTAATTAGGAAATACAGAGTGGAGAAAAAAGATGGAAGAATTGTATTTATTTATTTAGACTCTCAGGTTACTGTTTTTTTTATTTACACTCTTTGGTTACTTCACACGATGATGATTATGATGGTGACGTCACTGATGAGGATGATGATAACGAAAATGGTGGGACTGTTGATGATGGTGATAATAAAACTAAAAAATACATTAATAGTAGTGTTCGTATATGCGTATTTCATCGAGCCAAGTCCTTTTGACAAGCACATCCATTCGATATTTTAAAAGTTTGGCTTTGCATTTGCAAAGTTCTTACTAGCTTGGCTACCATCTTTACAGACTAGTTTTTTTTCTAGCTATGTACAGTACAATTTTTGAGTCTTTGAGAGAAAAATGTTTCCTCTAAATCAGGGGTGGGCCAACTTTTTCAGTGAGGGCCGCATTGAGAACTATTTTACCTTTGAAGGGCCGCATATGTACTTGAATAGCAAAGCTTTTCGACCCGGGAGAGAATTATTTTGTGATTCCTTTTTTTGGTCATAATGTCTAATTGACGACCTTTTTTTGACAAACAAGGCATCGCGGGCCGCATAAAATAGCAGCCGTAGTTTACCCACGCCTGCTTAAAATTAGTAATATATATGATTTTATTATGGTGTTATTATTATTATTATTATTATTAAGAATTTTAAAATAATTTTCATTTATTTTTGCTCGTCCATCATTCAAGTTGAAGATTGAAAAAATAATTCCATTTATCTACGGATCATTGTGGAGATTAAGTTTTGCATGTATGTTCGTTTGTTTTTATGTATGTATGTTTGTTTATTTGTTTGTATATACGAGTTTGTATGTACGGGTTTGTATGTACGGGTTTGTATGTCTGTCTGTATGTCTGTCTGTATGTATGTATATATGTGTGTAAGTTATAACAAATGAAAAATAGAAAAATCCTACCACCAAATATATATCTTCAATATAAAGACATACAAAGCATGAGCATACAAAACAATTTAATATACAAAGCAGATAACATACAAAACTGAAAACATACAAACAATAAAACATACAAACAAAACCATACAAAACATTGGAAAGAGAAAACATACAAGATAAATACAATACAAACTTCCTTATCTTTACGCAAACACTACTGGCGTCACACACACCAGCTAGATCCAAAAAAACAGAAAAACAAACAAATGTTTTCTCCGCTGTGATTAAGTTTTCTCACTTCGGTTCACTCTCTTTTTCTTTCAACCCCTCTCTTTTTCTCTTTTTTTTCTTCTGTTTTTCTTTTATTTCTCACTTTCTTCCTTTCCGTGGTTTTTCTTTTTTTGTTTTCAACCGTTTTTCCATCATTTTATTCAACTTTTCACATATGTTTTTTGTACACACTTTCAACTTCTATTTCTTTCCTCTCCGTTAATTACTCTATTTTCGTTTTCTCTCTCCTTCCCCCCTAACCTTAACCCTCTCTCTTCATCAATCTTTCTCCCCCCTCTCTCTCTCACTCACTCTTTTCTTCCCGCCATCAACATGAAAATTAAATTTCTGTATGAGTGGTAATAATTTTTGTTTCTCCAACAATAAAGCCATGTTACCGAACTTAATTCCTTTCTTTTATGCCAAGGGAGTATAGGGGCACACACACACACACACACGCACGCTTACTTACACACACATACTTGTCTGTGTGTGTGTGTGTTTGTGTGTGTGTTTAAAGGCGCGTGTATTTATCATTTACAATTTTTACATCCCTCCCCATGTACTTAGAAGCACTACGTGAAACAACGAGAAAGTTAAGAGAGAGAGAGAGAGAAAAAGAAAAAGAGAGAGAGGTAAAGAGAGGTAAAGAGAAAGACCAGAGAGAGAAATAATAAAGGGAGAGAAAGTTTTTTAAAAAATGATAGCATGATGAAATGAATAGGTCAAGATTAAATTGAGGATATGGAGAAAACATGAAGAGACCTGAAAAATCAGACGCATAGAGAGTGAGAGAGAGAGAGAGAGAGGAGAGAGAGAAAGAGAAATTCAAACAGAGAAAGAAAAAAGAAAGAAAAGTGGAGCGACAAAACGACGACATGGATGAATGAATGATTAGTTTACCTACTTGTAATTAATTCAAAAATAGAAAACCGCCTACTGCGTTTGAAGATTAATAGACAATTAAAATATTAATATATATATATATATATATATATATATATATATATATATATATATATATATATATATATGACTGAATAAATGAATGAAAGAATGAATGACCGAATGAACGACAAACGAATGAAAGAATGAATGACGAACGAATGAATGAAGGAAAGAAAGCCCCAGACAAACAAAAAAAATCTTAAAGTTTTGTTTTCCATAATTAACTTTGTTATGATAATATGAGAGCGTGGTAAAACATACATACATTGTCTTTATTGGAGGCGTTATGACGAGGAAGAAGAAGAAGAAGAAGAAGAAGAAGAAGAAGATGATGATGATGAAGAAGAAGATAATGAAGAAGAAGAAGAAGATGATAAAAAAGATGACGAAGAAGAAGAAGAAGAAGAAAAGAAGAAAAAAAAAACAAGAAGAAGAACAAGAAGAAGAACAAGAAGAAGAACAAGAAGAAGACGGTGTAAATAATCATTATAACAATGACAAAGATGATGAGGCTGACGATAACGCCATAGTAGCAGCATTTGTTGATGTTATGGGTGACGGTGACGATGATGTGACCAGGACGAGACGTCAAAAAATTACTAATGTAAATCAATTTTATGTTCGCCCGCTACTTAATGCGACACGACATTAACGCCGCTGCTATTGTGGTAGTTGTGGTTGTTGTGGTAGTTGTGGTGGTTGCTGTAGTTGTGGTTGTTGTTGTGGTTGTTGTAGTTGTTGCTGTAGTTGTGGTTGTTGTTAGTTGTTGTGGTAGTTGTGGTTGTAGTTGTAGTAGTGTAGTTGTGGTGGTTGTTGTTGTGGTGGTGGTTGTTGTTTTTGTTGTGGCTGCTGTTGATGATGATAAAAATGACGCTGTCGATGGCCATGTTATTTTTGTCGTTGTTCATGACGTCATTTTTGATAATCATCATTGTACGTTGTCATTAATGACTATTCAATCTAGACATTTTGAAAACAACAACAACAACAACAACAACAACAATAGCAACATCCTCATTATCAACAACATCAACAACATCATCAACGACAACAGCATCATCAACAACAGCATCATCAACAACAACAACAACATCAACAACATCATCAACAACAACAGCATCATCATCAACAACAACAACAACACGATCATCTACATTACAACCCACTTAGGT